GTTTTGAAAGTTACTAAAAAAAAAAAAATAAAGCATCATCAGTCCTTGGAAGTGCTTTTTCTTCTTTGCTTTTTGAACTTTGCATGTTATTTCAACTTTGGCTATTTCTCTGCTTGTTTCTAAGAAGGCATTTTGTGATGCCATGCAGGAGACACTAGAAAGGGATAGCTGACAAGGAAAAAATTAAAAATTGGATAAAAAGTAAATGAATAATGTCATATTACCAAAAAGATGAGAGGCTAATTTGTGCCGACTTTTTGCTAATTTTGTTCAAGCCTCAAAATGAGGAGCTGTCACCCGTTCTGTGTAGCACTGATGACAGTGCCAATGATCCATGAAATAAGCTGCCGCTGGCTTTGTTCTGATAAGAATGAACAAATCTGCACAATGTTCGGCTCCCAGAATCTCATTTTCATACTTGCATGCAGGCGAAAAGAAATAAGCTGTTTGCAGGCTTGATTAATCAGACATTGGAGGGGTTTTTGTCTCTTTGATCTCTTTCGTCTCCTAGGTAACTTGCTTGACATTAATGTTGAGCTCGAGTAAAGACAATCATGAATTGTCGACCAAACTGATATAGAAATTAAAGACCTTAACACTTTAAGTGCTCCAGTAATGGTTCCGCTTTACTTCAGAAAACATCTGTTTTCATTTAATTAAAGAACAAAAGAGAATGGCATAAATATTTTTTCATAGAGACCTATTATTCCATCAAAAGTTAAAGTATGATAATTGGTATTTTTAAATAAGTGCCTTGAAAGTGTTCAGAAGGGAGGAAAACTTCATAAATCTGTTACAAGCTAGTAATTCAAAGATGAGTAAAGTATTTTATGAAATGGATAAGAAGTTTACAGTGATGCTAGATTAAGCTGTTTGAATCAGATGCTTCAAATGATTACCGGCAAACTTCAGTAGGGCAAGGTTTAGTGAGAAAAATGAACTTTATTTTGCGAGTTTGTCTTTTAAAAATCTCTACTGTGTTACAAGATGTGCCATTATATCTATTTTACAACCCAATATGATTTACGCATGCTAAACCTGTAAAATTGAAAGGAATTAAAAAAATGTCGCCGGGTGCATTTGCTTGAGGTTATGCAGACGCTTTTACAAATCTTCCAAGTGGCTGTAAAGATGAATGCCTCAAGGGTCCAGCCAGGGCCCTGCTTTTCCAACCAGCTAAAGCCCTTATCTTAAATCCAAGCAAAGTACCATTAATCTTTTTGAAAGACCTTTTATGGCTTTTAATATATCCCAAATTAGAACATTTTACACCCTTGGTTCCTGAAATATGGTGATAAAAAGCCTTTAGAGCTTAATTTTCCTTACCGTTTGCTCTGACCAATTTGCAGTTCTTTGTGATAATGTTTAGACACCTTAATTAAAATGCAGCAAAATATTGGATGTTCTATATGGAAAATGCTGATACTTTGGCTACACATACAAGAAATTGTGTATATATTTTTGTTTGGTTAAAAAAATTTCTTCCCACATTGTGTTGCTCTAGTTATCTGATGACCTGAAACAGTTTTTTAATATAAAAACCATTGACCAAGCTTTTGTGATGTTTACATTGGGCACGAAGATGCATTTTTCTTTTTAGAGAAGCAGAAGGGGGATTCTTATGGGCCTATATTGTTTGTTTGTAATACGGAAACATAGCACGGTATTCTTTTATCTTCTGGAACTTGGGCTGGTCATCTTGCCTGAGAAAACATGTTTCTTCTCAACTGTGTCTTCTATAGAAGATCTCATGATCCTTTCATATTTCCAAATATTTCCATTCTTTTTACTTTCTCCACAGGAATAAGTGAAACATTCATTTTAAGCATGGGAAGGACACAACATTGATAAGACTTTTCATCATCATTACAAGCTAAAAGATTCTTTCTGTAAAATGCATTAGACCAGGCTTGTTTAATGTTCATCAGTTAAAGAACATTTCATTGAAACCAACCCCAGGCAAAATACAGTTAGAAAATATACCTTTCCTACAAACAGGCCTGCTTGAACGTATGGCCTACGTACCTAATCATTTACTATATTTAATTAGTCTACAAAGCGATGGAGCCCTCTCATGTAAATACATGTTTCTTACATTGTAATGAATGCTTTTTAACAAGTTTATGCTATGTCTTCTGTGGCATATGTGCTCTCAGTCTTTACTGTGATGCTGATTGTGCTGGGTTTGTCCTTCGTGTTGCTAGAAAACTAAAATCTTTTACATTATAAGAGTATATGACCATGTTGAAGAGGCCCCATTTAAATCACATGACCACGGTCAGTGTCCAGACACACTGAGATGCTCTTTGGTTTGTCTATCCCCAAACCAGAAAATCCATACTGGGAAATTTCAATAAGCTAAAACTGTAAGCTGCGTCTTAATTTACAACAGTTTTAGGAAATAATTTTGTCACGGGGTCAATGGCACATGGCAAATATAGTTCAGGTCATTTTTGTTTCATGCTCAAAAGTATAGGCTCAATTTAAATATAAGATAAACTAGGTGAGTGGAACTTTAGTTAGGGAGTGATCCTGGCAAAACTATATCATATTTCAAATTTGCATATGCTATCTAAAACATAGGAATATAATTAGATAGGCAAATACTGAGTTCTGTGTTTTATCTTTTGGAGGTGGGGGCCAGAGAGGAGACTAAATATCCCACATGAATGTGGAGAGACCCAGCGTACCTCTTAAACCCAGGTGGCAAGCTGCATGTTATGACAGTAGACAGTTCCTTAGGTGCATTTAGTGTTCCCCTGATGTCCCCCAGCACCCCTGTGGCCAGCCGCCTCGCAGCCAGGTGGAATTGTGAGTAGTTCTGACCAGACGGCTTTGAGCAGAAACGCTGTGTGTCGCTTCTGGACTAAAGCATTAAAGAGCCAGTGTGAGACCCTCTGGCCGTCTCTAACTCTGCCACAGCGCCTTGAAAGCCACGTGCTGAGATGCTGGCACCACAAGATGGAGAGACCTGCCAGTCCACAGCTGACATTAAGTGAAACACGAAATAAAAGCTCAGCCACTGAGATTTGGGGGTTTGTTTGTTACTGCAGTTTTGACTAGCCTAACCAGACAGGAGTAACTTGATGTTTTTACATTTATGACAAGTGAATGGTGTTTCAGTTGATAGGAAATCCATCTTCGTGATAAGTGATTCCAGAGCTTTCTTCCAGAGCTTCGTTTTCCCCTTAGATGATGATGCTACAGCCCTTTGATTCTTAACCTTTTTTATAGTTGACTTATATGAATTTTTCTGTAATAAAGAACTGGAAATGAAAAGAGAGCCAAAAGAACAGGTCCGGGATTGAAGCAGTCAGATGTAACTGGCAACCCCTTCTCCCCAGCTGCCCACCCCCCCCGCCCCCCCGCCTGCCCCCGAAGCCCTCTTTATAACAGCTGTATCTGCAGCGCCTGCAACGGTGCCTGGCAAAATAATGCATTTGTGCCCTCGTGATATTGGTTGAATGAATGTCGTCCTTGTGAAAAAAGATGCTGCTGCTAGTGTTGGCTTGAGTGTCAGGAAGGCTCCGAGTTGGTCTGCTTTCCCAGGTGGGCTCACAGCCACAATCGACCCTCCTTCCTTCAGTGACTTTCCTTTTGGTGTCGACTACCTCAGCACGCCGGCTTGATTGTCATATTGCTTCCATTTACTTACCTTCTTTATGTGTATTCTTTCCTAGACTGAAAAATCAGATCTGTTTTTGTTCTCATTTATAAACCCCGGTCAGTGCTTGATGACTGCTTGTTTGTTTCATTCTAAAGGAAACTGTTCTCCAAGATGAGCTGAAAGGAGTGTCGGGCATGTCAAACCTCACTTTCCTAAGTCGGCTTCTCTCCTTACACACGAGCCCCTGACCGCCTGCCTTGCCTCACTGTTGGCCAGTAGGTCCCTAAACCTTGGGCTGTAATACTTTGACTTGAGAGTAGCTTCTGGGTCCTTGCCTCTTGTCCACAAGTCTGCTGGCTACTGAAATGCAGTAGGCTGTGTACAGAGAGAGAAAAGGAAAGAAATAACCAGGAAGAGATTTTTAGGCTTTGTTGTTTAACCTGGGCTCTTAACAGATACTTTTGAGCCATCCATATAGCTGGGCGTTTTTAAAATCAAAGCCCACCAAAACTAGGGGATTACCGTGCCTGTCCTGGAGACGCTCGCCGAGGAACAGCTCTGTGGTCAGAGAGCTGTACCATGGGTTATGGCACAGAAGCTGAAGGGCTAGAGAAATAAAGAAATAAAGACTTTGTTGGGTTGAGTTAGAGACGACTTCCGGGGGTGGGGCTGAGAGGAGGCTTTGTTCTGCTTCAACCTTCGAGCACTGGGGCAGATGGGTGTAAGGGGGGAGCATGCACGCACGGGGGACTGGCAGAGGGAACACTTCGGTACTGTGGTCCTGGTGCCCCGCCTCTTTGCCTCTTGGCACCCCTTGTACTCCTTTTTCTATCAGTGAGTGACAAGCTATTGCCCATCACACAAACTGTTTATGAAGTAGTAATTAGCTTTCCTGTGTTTTATTAATCACATCTATGACTGCCAATCTGAGCTTCTGATTAGCGTGAGATAACGGGTACACCCATACTGAGTTTCTGTAATTCTAGCCCAGAGCAAAGAAACTGGATGTCTCTGTCAGCCTGTGCAGCCTTATCGGGGTAAATTCCTGTCTGGCCTACTGAAATGCTGAAAGCGCTTCAAGATCTTCATCCACAGCCCTCGTGGACCCTCGACGGGCCTTAGTGTGGGAAGGAGTTCCATCTGGGAGACTGGGAGGCTGGTACAGCTGGGATAAAGGTCTGTGGGAGGTTAGGAGAATAGGGGCTAGCTACATCTTTGCATTTGTTGTAATTCGGTGGTTTTGGGGGCCGAGCATAAGAATTTCTATTCTTAGCATGTCTAAAGCAACGCTGACATGGGTTTCATACCCACAAATTCTCGAGTATTTGTATCGCTGTAATTCTTGTATCAGCTAGAATATTTATTTTCACTTTTCCTCCTGTGTGATTCTTAGCTTGGTGTAAAAATTGCCAAAGCGATTGCCTGCCACAACTTTGTAAAAGCCAAAAAGGATGCTGAAAATTCACAGGTTGCTCGAAAAAAGAAGAAACTTGCCTGGGGGTGAGTTCAAGATTTTTTAAATTAGTAATTCTGCTAAATTCATAGGAATTACAGAAATCCTGTGATATATTTGGTGAATCCAGTTTGTGTGTAATTGTTACTCATTTTATTCTTTGTATCTTTGCTGAATGTTTATCAGATTATAAATATGGAGGCATTTCTTCCTCCTGTTCGATGTTTGTTTTGTAATTGATGGAGTATGTGAAAACTTTTAAAGTTTATTTTACTTTGGCGCTTAGTAAACATGTTACTTCAGGAAAGTATTTAGAAATAAATTGGGATTTTCATATTCTTCATTTTAGGTTTGAAGCAAAGAAGAGGTGGGAAACCAAAAGCAACATGGGATATATGTGACTTGCCAGAGTTCTTCAAGACCTTTGGGACTTCACTTGAGTCTTCAGTTGCTTAATTTACTGAAAAGATTTTCCTGTTCATGTTAACTATGTTGGGAAATTGATGGAAATAGAAAAAAATAAGCATAAAATTTGGAAGTTGATTATCAAATCTTTTTTCAGTCTTTTTCTAAAGAGCTCATCCTGCTGAAGTGAATGAAATGGAGCATTCTGTTATTTGTACAAGAAATCTAAGCATACATACAGGAAAAAAAAAAGATAGGATTTTATTTATTTATTTATATAGACCTCCAGTATAAAATCAATTTTACTTTTCATCCACTTGGTGTAGCATAGCCAATGAGCTCCTTGTACTTTCTTATCTGTACTCGGTGTAACTGCACTTATTCTGGAGCTGTGTTTTTAAGATTGGCATTTGTTTATAATGGATTAGTCATAAGCGCAAGAAAGATACTGTCTTCACAAATGACTTTATCTTAATGTTATAAAAGTAATTATTGGTTCTTTATTGGAGACAGTAGAGTTGATATTTCACAGTCACATAATAAAAGCAATTGATTAATTTTTGTGTACCTTCAGATTAAATATCACAGTTTTTAAAAAGGACAGAATGTAGTATTTAGAGGATGATTTAAATTCAAGTTCTGTGCCTGGAAGTGTCTTCCTAAATCTCTCTCTCAGCCATGTCGTTCTTTAAATTATGAGATAGTTCTTAGAAGAGAAATTGGTATAATAGTATTAGACAGTTATAACTCAAGACAGTGTAACTCTGAACCTTCTAAGAACAAACATGGTTTGATTATTTTTTCTCCTCTTCCCCATCACTCCTGGAGAGACTGAGTGAATGAATGAGGATAACGGGGATTGGTGCCCTGGGAAGTGGTTTTCACTGAAAGTGTGTTTCGTAGTCCGAACTAGAAGGGGCTTTGAGGAATTGTCACAAGCTGATGGACAAGACCACAGCTGGATGTTGTGATCTGGGGGTAGGCCTAGGTATTTTGGCACCTCCTCTTGGTGCCCAGTGGAGGTGAAGGACTGCTTATTGTGGCTTTCATCAAGTCTCTTCCCTTCTTCAGCCTTCATCAGAGGTGTCTGCTGTCCGACACAGACTTTCTCTAGGTTGATAATATAAATTCAGGAACATAGAAAATGAGTCATGATGATATTAGTAGTAGTATTATTTTGTTATTTTTATTTTATTTTATTTTATTTTTCTTTGCGGTACGCGGGCCTCTCACTGCTGGGGCCTCTCCCGTTGCGGAGCACAGGCTCCGGATGCGCAGGCTCGGCGGCCATGGCTCACGGGCCCAGCCGCTCCGCGGCATGTGGGATCTTCCCGGACCGGGGCACGAGCCCGCGTCCCCTGCATCGGCAGGCGGACTCTCAACCACTGCGCCACCAGGGAAGCCCGATTTTGTTATTTTTAGGCTTACAAACAGTAATCAAATTTTACTTATTTGTGGTGGCATATTTTTTTTTTCTGTGTTCTGGAATAAGTGAGCAACTAATTGCTATTTACGAGAACAAAAATAGTATCTTGCTTCCACTTAGGTGACAAAAGCCAGTATAATAGAGAAAGCAAGATTTCAAGAGATTGTGTACCTTCTCATAGAATTCATAATGGAGAGATAGTCAGACTAAATATTGGAAAATCTAACATTTTATGATTTAATATTCCCTGTTGGGTTCTGTGGATATGATCATACCCTGCTTAGCTACAGCATCTTATTTCGTACTCCTTATAGGTGAATACAGACTTAGAGTATAGGAAATTTTCCTCTAAAAAAATCCTTCATGGGGGAAATACCCGCCACACAATCCAGTGGTTTTGTCTGAAGCATGAAAAATGTTCGCTTTGAGCAGGCAGGTAGTATGAGTATTCTCATGCATAGGCCCCAGCACAGGCATCTCCCTGCAGTCTCTGCCCCCCTTTCCCCCTGGATCCACTTCCTTAGAGTAGTGAGTGACCCCTGCAGGCACATCCCCACTCTGCTTGTGCTGAGGCCTTGCCGGAGTGGCCTCCCTTAGGGTCTGATTTGGGAGCCCCTGAACCCAGAGTTCCCCTGACCCTTCTTCTTTGGCCTGCTCCGGGGCCAGAGGTTGCCCACTTCCCGCACTCAGAGGTCCCACGTGGATGGGAGCTTTTTCCCTGAGTAGATGGCGTTATGGTGGAATCAGGGAGCAGGGGATTCATTTGATAAGAGGAGCCATGACGCCTAAGGCCCCACTCTTCGGGGCCTGGGTTTTGAAAGGCTCTAAAACAGTGCAGCCGAGGAGGGGGTGGGAGGGGAAGAGGGTTTGAGGGAGAGGAAGGGACTGGTTTTCTTGGGTTAACCCTGCTGGCATGTCATTTGGGAACACTTTACTTTTAATCTGTTTTAATTTGAATTAGACATTTTACTCATTAAAGCATTAAAATGGGGACATTATTCTTAGAAAACCCAGGTTGCCCCCAAAGTGTAGTCATTTGTCCTCTCCGTCTGGTCACAGTGAAATAAAGATTCTTTTTGGATCAGTAGTAACTTCCAGTTCCCGAAGCTTTAACATGTACATTTACTACCACCAGAATGACTGAATTAGATTAGTAATGTAAATGTCAGGTATTGTTAACTGAGATTAATATGTTTCAGGCCATGGGTATGGCATTAATGTAACTACAGTTTACTGTTTGAGTACTTCAGGCTAAAACACCTTACTAAAGAACAGTAATTTTGAGCTTTGCAGCACTGGTTCTGAGAATTGAAGTTGATAGTGCATTCTTCTTTGGGAGCCCTCAGGGTGTTTCTGATTTTCAGCAGAACATTCTATTCTTTCACCAAAAGAAGAGTTTGAATATATAATCTCAGGTTTGCTGTAATTAGTTCTGATGACAGACTTAAAAACCTTGGCCAAAACTGCAAATCAGTAGTTAAGCAGGTTTTTGCAACTGATCATAAATCTCAAAACTCCATATTTTAAACGTGCTTATTGTTTTTTAGAGAGACAGCTAAGGGAGGAGCAGGCCAAGGACAGGAATAAAATGTTACCTGAACTTGACTAACAGCTTAAAACCTCACCTTTAAAATGTGCTGATTTCCCTGATATCTATTGTCTAAAATGTTATCTAAATATTTTAATAACTTAGCTTATTCTTTGGTAAGACAAGTTTGAACTTAATTTTTAAAATATGAAGGTTGATTTTCAAATGTTCAAATTTTCATTTGTCAGGTAAAGATATCACATTTTTAGAAAGGTATGTCCTGCTAAACTATAAAAAATATATGAGGTTAATATTTAAATTAAGATGCCAATTATGAGTAGTTTAAGAGGTAATGTGTGAGGAAACAAGAGTATAACATTAACGTCAGGCCCCATTTTGGAAAATTAACTTAGTGAAACCTGGTAGTCAAATTCAGAACCAACCAAAATATTCAAGTTCTTCCATGTTGGCAGAAGTCGCTTTTATTTTTAGAATCTGGCAGAGCAACAAATGCTTTGCATGTCAGTTTAATGTTTTTTGAAGCCAACTGTTTATTCATTGGCTTAAAATTTACACTCTAGTAAAGTCTTAGCCTTGACTTTCATGAAACAAATAGTAATATTTGGACAAAACATGTACACGAAAATCTTTTTCCAAGACCAAATGTAGATTGGTGTTTGTGGTATCAGTGCTTTCTAACATGGTAATGGATCTGAAAATGCTTTGAAAAGTCTAAGTCGTTATAAACCCAGGGCATGCATTCCAAGGAATTAATTTTTATTATGAAATAATCAGAGCATCTTTCTAGGTTTTCAGATTTAAATGAGTGAGAGACTTTCTGCTAGAAAGTAGAATCTATATGGAGTAAATTTCATTGAACTATCAAAAGATTCTTTTATCAATTTATTTATTCTTGACCTTAGTAGCATACTGAGACAATGAGATCCATTTTTCCATTTTTGAGGTTGGGGTGCTCTGTAGATTTTGTTAAAATGAGTAGAGCTGCATTCTTTAGTTTTTATTATCTTATCCTCCCTCCGCTTTACTCACCTTAAAAGACACACGACACACGCGCGCGCACACATTCAGTGTTGTAGCTGTAAATCAGCACGAAGCCATACCGGGAAAGGGAGAGTCGAGAACATGGCAGCACGTAAAAGATCGAGATGCCATGAAGAAACTTAGGAAGGAGTCAAACTGTTGTGCTCTCGTGTTAAAATGAAGCGTGCGGTTTCTTCAACAGCATCTCCTCCTACTCTCCTATGAGTATTCTGGAGATATGTGTTCATTTTGCTAAAATTTCTTCAGATATGGCAGTGGTGCCACGCTAGCTCTTGTGACCATGATCCCTGGAACACAACTACAGGCCTTTGGTGGGACTATTAAGTGCCATGTAATACGCTGGGTTTTTAGATATGCTTGTAAAATCAAGAATTAGCTGAGGGATAATTATCTTTTTATTAATATTAGTAACTCCCTTTGTAGATTCAAGTAAAACATAAGAATTTTCCAAGTAGGAGGAAATTTAGAAAAAAATTGAATTTTGGTTCATGCCTTTTATATCCAGACCAGGTTGCTTAAGGAAACACAGAATAAAAGGGACTGAGATGGGAACGGAGGGTAGTGTCCAAGAGAAGCCTTGGCTCCTGGGTGCTCCTGCCTGGGGTTCCTCCTGTGTCCTTACTGGTGTCATTCTAGAAGGCCCAGCCCACATCTCCTCCATGGGCTGCCTCTTGCTGAATTGCTGCAGGGGGCCAGCTATGTGATGGGTATGGAATGAGGTAATCTTTTCCCACTTCTAATATCTGAAAGGTGTGTCTGTCCAGTTATTGTTCATTGAACTGAAAGGTTTAGAAACCAACATCTGCGGTACAAGCTGTAATTATTGATGTCTGTTTCATATTCATCTGTAAGTTCTGACATTTGATCAAGAAGTTAATATATCACTTCATCTTCAGGCTGCATATGCCTCAGCTATAAACGTTCTATTTTTTGATGGGTAGTATCTAATTATGACTGCCCAGAATAAAAAGTGTTTTCATTTGTGAGTGATACTAGAAGTAATTATGAATGTCACGAGGAGTAGTGAAACAGTGAAGCCTTGCGTTTCTTTGGATTCCTCCCTACTTGATACCTGAGAGCCGTTCACTGAATGTTAGACACTAACTCGTGCTGATGCAAAAATGAATAAGCACACTGTGATTGGGAAACATATATAAAGCGTGTTTTGGACAACTTGAGTTTTAGGGAGGCTGTTAACACGAAGGAATAATCTACATGTAATGAATTAAATAACTTAGACGTAAAATTTTTAGTTCTGTGGGTATATGTTCTCTCCAGGGTGTGAAGTCTCGCTGAGCAGCTGCTTCCGGTCACTCACTAGCTTAGCACTCACCTCACAGTGAGTGGGATTGACACCCTGACTTTCACCTTATTTCTTAGATTCATGCAGAGGTGACGGTCACCGATGGGGTGAGACTAGGGGGTGAATGCAACTGTTTTGCACAATACTCCCTAATTTTAAGCTTAAAGTTTTTCTTAGGCTGTACCAACACGTCCTTTATACTACAATGGCTGTGTCACAGTGCCTGCCCATGTTAGGG